CACCACCACCACCACCACCACCACCACCACCACCACCACCACCACCACCACCACCACCCCCACCCCCACCACCACCACCACCACCACCACCACCACCACCACCACCACCACCACCACCACCACCACCACCACCACCACCACCACCACCACCACCACCACCACCACCACCACCACCACCACCACCACCACCACCCACCACCACCACCACCACCACCACCACCACCACCACCACCACCACCACCACCACCACCACCACCACCACCACCACACCTTTTCCGCGATGCGCGACCCATGACAAGATCGTGCCACAAAGGCCACTTACAAGGTTAAGCATTGCCACAAACATGCCCCGGCACTTCAGCTCCAGCATCGCGGCATCCACGAAGGGATATCCAGTGGTGCCTCTGCAAGCACAATTCGAACGTCAATTCGAACACTCTCACCCTGCCTAATGATGTTCACCATCCCGCTATGACCATACAGTATGTCACAGAACCCTCTCAGTTCATGTGGAAAAGCGGAGTGTCTGCGAGGCCTGCCCGTTGCAAGGCAGTCCTCGCTCAAAAATCTTTCTGAGCTCAAACCAACAACTCCTCAAAGAACACCCTATACAGAATGCCATCATCTGAACCACTCCCTTTCTCCCTCTTTTCGTCCCACAAGTCCCCCCCCAAAAAAACACCGAAAACCCATTAAACAAAAAGAACAAGCAATCGAAGCTGGAAGCTCATACCCCAAAATATGTCTTTGCGAAAAACCCACAGAGACCGAAGAGGAAGATGTCCCTAAATCCGTGAGCCAGAGCCGAACTATACCCTTAATCACTTACAACTACAAGAAGGAACTCCCCCAAAAGCATAGGTAACTATTTAGGCGCCTATATGAACACTTTTTCTATGACTAAAGTAGGAGGATCCTGATTATAAGGACCACCAAATACGGTATCTAGGTCATCATCTCGGCCCCCATAATAAGAACCCTATCCTCGATCCCTTATAGACCCCCTTTAAGGATCCCTTTAAAGGGAGCCCTATTCTGAACTAGAAGGGCCCGGGGCACCCGAGGCCCACTTCCCAAACTTCTCCAAGTTCTTCTCCCAGGTCCAGAGCCTGGGATCCGAGCCTCACAAAGAAGGGAAGGGCCAGGAAAGGCCAAAGAAGTTTAAAGGGAACTCCAGCAAGTTGGAATATGGATTAATGGTAGGATCCCCTATTATTTACCTGAAAGGGGTTACGATAATGATATTCCAACTTTCTGGCTTCTACTGTAGTAGTTGTTTTTAAATCGTGTTGAGAGTATGAGGTTAATGGGTTGGGGCATATGGGGGGCCAGGAAGTTTAGTAGGTCTTCATAAATTGGTTTTGTTACGGGCTCCTTTTCGATCTGCATGTTAGTAAGGGTTTAGGGTTTAGGGTTTGGTGTAGGGTCTCAGGGTTTTGGGTTTAAGGTATAGGGTTGAGGGATAGGGTTCAGGAGCTTGGTGCGGCCTAAAAGAAGCGGGGGGGTTGGGGGGGGCGCACCCCCCCCCATTTGCAAACACCCTGCTCACATGATGGGTGTCAACAAGTTTCTTGGGCTTTGAAGCACGCTCTGCAGGGCTAAAAAAAAAAGCGGGGGTTGGGGAGGGCGCAGCCCCCCCCATTTGCAAACACAATGCTCACACGATGTTGTTCAACTTGTTTCTTGGGCTTTGAAGCACGCTTGGTACGGCTTAAAAGACCCTGCTCACATGATGGGCGTCAGCAACTTTCTTGGGCTTTGAAGCACGCTCGCAGGGCCTAAAAAAAAAGCGCGGGGGTTGGGGAGGGCGCAGCCCCCCCCCATTTGCAAACACAATGCTCACACGATGTTTTTCAACTTGTTTCTTGGGCTTTTAAGCACGCTTGGTACGGCTTAAAAGAAGCGGGGGGGGGGTTGGGGGGGCGCAGCCCCCCCCCCACTTTGCAAACACCCTGCTCACATGATGGGCGTCAACAAGTTTCTCGGGTTTTGAAGCACGCTCTGCGCGGCTTAAAAAAAAAAGCGGGGGGGTTGGGGGGGCGCCCCCCCCATTTGCAAACACGATGCTCGCACTCACACGATGTGTTTTCAACTAGTTTCTTGAGCTTTGAAGCACGCTTGGTACGGCCTAAAAGAAGCGGGGGGGTTGGGGGGGGCGCAGCCCCCCCCCATTTGCAAACACCCTGCTCACATGATGGGTGTCAACAAGTTTCTTGGGCTTTGAAGCACGCTCTGCAGGGCTTAAAAAAAAGCGCGGGGGTTGGGGAGGGCGCAGCCCCCCCCATTTGCAAACACAATGCTCACACGATGTTTTTCAACTTGTTTCTTGGGCCTTGAAGCACGCTTGGTACGGCTTAAAAGACCCTGCTCACATGATGGGCGTCAGCAACTTTCTTGGGCTTTGAAGCACGCTCTGCAGGGCCTAAAAAAAAAGCGCGGGGGTTGGGGAGGGCGCAGCCCCCCCCATTTGCAAACACAATGCTCACACGATGTTTTTCAACTTGTTTCTTGGGCTTTTAAGCACGCTTGGTACGGCTTAAAAGAAGCGGGGGGGGGTTGGGGGGGCGCAGCCCCCCCCCACTTTGCAAACACCTTGCTCACATGATGGGCGTCAACAAGTTTCTCGGGTTTTGAAGCACGCTCTGCGCGGCTTTAAAAAAAAGCGGGGGGGTTGGGGGGCCCCCCATTTGCAAACACGATGCTCGCACTCACACGATGTGTTTTCAACTAGTTTCTTGAGCTCTGCACAGCCAAAAAAAAGCAGGGGGGTTGGGGGGGGGGGGGGCGCAGCCCCCCCTTATATTATATTATATTATATTGTATTTATTGTATTTTGTATTATATTATATTATTTTTATTTTATTTTATTATATTATATTATATATATATATATATTCTATTCTATTATATTGTATTGTATTGTATTGTATTATATTATATTATATTATATTATATTCTATTCTATTCTATTATATTGTATTGTATTGTATTATATTATATTATATTATATTGTATTGTATTATATTATATTATATTATGTTATAATATATTATATTATATTGTATTGTATTGTATTGTATTGTATTATATTAAATTATATTCTATTCTATTCTATTCTATTATATTGTATTGTATTGTATTGTATTGTATTATATTATATTGTATTGTACTTTGTATTATATTATATTATATTATACTATATTATATTATACTATATTGTATTATAATATATATTATATTATATTATATTATATTATATTATATTATATTATATTATATTAACTACCCAAAGAGGTATGTATAGAGTCGCACATACAACAACTTTAGTTGCATCTACTTCTAACCCAAGTAAAAACACTTCTAGCCAAGCACCTTGGACTCATGCCCTCGTAGTCAAGCCATATGTAGCCTACTTTCCCCCATATTGAACAATATTATATATATATATATATATATATTCTAATAAACCATTTTTGTATATATTATATACGTATATTGTCTATATATTATCACGTATTATATGATACTATGTTATACTACAGAACTTATTCTACTATTGTTACACAAAGACACAAATACAACCAAAATCTGACTGCGGGACCGGGAAACACGGGACCGGGGGACCATACCACATGCCTCACTATACTCCCAAGTTTTTTCATTCCTTCATTCATTCATTCTGTCATTCATTCATTATTTCTTTCTTTCCTTTCCTTCTCTCTTTCTCTTTCTTTCTCTCTTTCTTTCTTTCTTTCACTCACTCACTTAGAGGGGGCCAAGTGTATGAAGTCGCAAGCGGCCCTGGAGAGGCCCTGAGACTCGAACAGGACGTAAAGAGAGCCTTCACGGGGCGTGAAAAAAGCTCTCCTAGGCCTCATAGGGTGTTTACCGCCCCCCGTGGGGCTTCATTCTGGCCCTGCGCCCCCGAAGCGCGTTTGAAGCTATTAAGGGGGCCATTTGCATCCCATTGGCGAAGGGTGGGGGGCTTTTTTTGAGACCTGTCCGGCCGGGGGTCTCGTGCAGTGATCCAAAAAAAGCCCGCAGTTGGGTCGAGAAGGCTTTTTTCGGGGCATGGGGCGTCAAACAGTGGCCCGTTAAAAGCCCACCGTCGGGTCGAGAAGGGTTTTTTTCGGGACGTGTAGGTGGCACGGGAGGCTGGGTCCGGGCTGCACAGGGCGGGATTAAAGCCCTATCAAGGCAGGGCGAGGCTTTTTCTCGTCCTGGGTGCATGGCAGGGGATAGAAAAAGCCGTGGGTTGGCGAGGAGGGCTTTTTTCGGACCCTGTCCACGAGGGGGGCGACCAGGAGGCCGACCCAGGGCGCAGAAACAGCCTTCGGGAAGGGGTCTAAAAAAAACCCTACGGGGGGCAAAAAAAAACCAGCCCGGGTTACGATAATGATATTCCAACTTTCTGGCTTCTACTGTAGTAGTTGTTTTTAAATCGTGTTGAGAGTATGAGGTTAATGGGTTGGGGCATATGGGGGGCCAGGAAGTTTAGTAGGTCTTCATAAATTGGTTTTGTTACGGGCTCCTTTTCGATCTGCATGTTAGTAAGGGTTTAGGGTTTAGGGTTTGGTGTAGGGTCTCAGGGTTTTGGGTTTAAGGTATAGGGTTGAGGGTTTTAAAGGTTTAGGGTATATAGGGTTCAGGAGTTTCGGGTTAAGTGGTTGGGGGATGGTCCTTCTAGGGGTATTGAAAAGGAGGCTCTTGAAGAATAAGGCTTGGGTTCTCCTTCCGGATTTTATACGTCTTTCAAGGGTTCATGTTCCTTCTACGGTGTTAGGGCTTTGAACTTTGGGGTTTGCGCAGTTTACGCTCCATCTTAGGGTTCCTCCTCGCTCATTGGTTCGCATTTCCAGAAGGATCTGATTACATAGGGACTCCTAGTTGGGATTAGGGACTCCTAGTTGGGATTAGGGACTCCTAGTTGGGATTTCCACACCTACGTTCATCCCACCTGCTGAGCCATCAGCGTGTTTGACAGGTGGCATAGGGTTTTCGGGTTTGCAAGGCTTTGGTAGATTCCATTTGGGACTTCAGGGTTCTTTAAAGGGGTGATGCACTAAACATATTGGGGAAAATATTTTTCCCCAATATGTTTAGTGTTAAAGTCTGAGGGTTAACAAGAAGGTTGTCTTTGCTTCTGCAGAAGGCTGATGCAAGGTATTAGGTGACCCCAGCTGCGTCTTTCAGCATGTCACGATTCCTTCACGAAGGGATTACTTGGGATCGTTGCAGAGTTTTATCTAGGCCTGATGTCCGTCAGGGTTTTGGGTTGACAGGGTATTACAGTACTTGAATCCTTTTGCGGTTCCTGTTCGAGAACTTACAATGACAAAGGCCGGAGTTGACCTCCTTTGTTTCCTTCTGGGGGTTCCCGCTCGAGCTGATACTATGGGATCTAGGACGCATAAAGCTTTCCTCGGTTGCTGCTAGGGTTCCCGTCAGGCTTGAGAAAAGAGGCCTGGATGTATCAATGTCTCAGACTTCCTTTATGGGGCTTTGCAGGGTTTCTATACGGGGTGGCCCAAGGCGCTGAACGTGGGGCCTAGGCGTCATCGGCAGCTATTAAGCCTTTACAAAATGCGAGTTTCCGAAAATAGGGGACCGTAATATAGTACCCTAAATGGTAGGACCCTTATTATAAGGACCCCTAAATAAGGTACCCCTCTTTTTTGGAAACTCCCAAATATGTTTCCTGAGTCGGATTTCAGACTGCACAGTCTGGGGAGCTGTAGTCTCCTGGCGTGTCTCCGAGCCGGGGGTATCCTACTGTTTGGGTCCCTATCAGGGCGCTCTGTTTTTAGTGTTGGAAGCTTCCAAGCCTCAGAAGGCAAAGGTAGAGAGTGGTAAAGGTTTAGGACTAGCCTGCAACACCCTGAACCACAAGTACCCAGTGCTTGGGTGCTTGGGTCTTAAGGGTTGTCGTCGGGATGCAGCAACGTAGACTTTAATGTTCCATGCTAAGTAGCTTTACCATGTACCGCGGACCATCATTGTGCGCGATGCTATAGACACCAATAGGCCGCTCATGAAGCAAGGTAGTATATAATTCGCCACGATAGTTCTACCGCACGTCAGAATCGAGAGAGTGCCCGGCCTCCGAAGATATTGTTGTAGTGCTTGCAACACCTCAGATGGAGAGGGGACATGAAGATGGAGCAGGCCGATTTTAGGCAACCTCGGTTTTCTTGCCTCTCAGGGGATTGCGGCAGGGGCCTCAGTAAGTATTATGTGCCTTGGGTATATTATCTTTCGGACTAGGACTGTAAGGGGAAGTACTTGCTACGTGCTCGGACTTCAAAACCCCAAAGTTGGCTTGGATAGTTGAAGGTCAAGCAAAATAGGGGCCTAAAAATTACCTACACTATTTGGGGTTCCTCACTATAGATATGGTATACTTTATCCCAAAGACCTAGTCTAGTCATTAAGGCCCCTACAGTATAAAACCCCAAGTACTATAGATTCCTTGTCTAGACCCCTTTACAAGGAACCCTAAAACCCTGTTTGAAAAGTCAGTAAGACAAAAGAAACAACGAAAAGCAGAGCTCACAGCTCAGAGAGCTGCCCTCTTCGACCGGGCCACCACTTCGTCGGTGTCTGGTGGCCGCCCGGCACGGAGCCGCAGTTCATGGGGCCGTAGAGATGATACATCCTCAGCAGTTCGTCGCAGTCACGCACGTCGCCGGCTGTCGGGAGTGTTCCGTCAAGTCCGAAGCGGCTGAAGGCTTGCACGCATCGCGATTCTTAGGCTGAGACACTGAACTCTTGGCATCTCCCCGATCGCAAATTCCCAGAATGTTCTGAGAAGTGAGTCTTGGCTAACCTACACCCTAAGTCCTGAACGCTGAAACCTGAACCCCAGCAGCCCTAGCGGCCTAGCGCCTATCTCAGCCTCGACACCGGTTTCCCCAGGCGTAGTGGACGATGAAGCGGTAGAAGTCGCGCCAGAGAAGGGAGTTGATCAAGCCTTTGGCGCCTTTGCCTGAGCTCGATGGACTTCTTCCCTCTCCAGCTTCTCGAAAGCACACTACGTACGCTAAACATGATCCTGGCTCTGGAACGAGTCTTTACGTCCTTTCTGTGGTTCAAAATCCCTATAAACCGTAAAGTTTGAACTTTGGTTCCAAGTTAAAGCTTAGAGCACGTAGCTTCATCACGGTGTATTTGGGCTGTCTGGTAACCGCACAGCTGTGCAGAAAGCTGCATCCCACGTTTCACACATCGTTCAGCGCGATGACAGTCAGCTCCCCCGCAAAATCTGATCCACATAAAAAAAACCCTTAATGTGGAAAGCATCTACACAAATCTTGTAAAAATCGCAGATCACCCACTTTTCACGTCTATGGATTCTCCAAGCCTCAAACTTAATCCAAACCTCAAGCCTACCCCCTGTCACCCCACGTTTCCCAGATTTTGCAGCTGGGAGGCAGCGGTCACCCTTCTCGAAGCGCTGGATCTCCCAGTAAAGCAGGCGGGGAGACAAGCAGCCAAAGGCCAAGTAGGGAGACAGCCTTCGGCTAGCGACTAGAGTACAGTTTATGCTTTTTGCTTTTAGTGTTTTACGGGCATACGGTTGTACAGGGTTCTATAAAGCGTTCAGGGCTCAGGGTTTCGGGTTCTGTCTTCTTCGAGGCTTTAGGCTCTCAGGGTTTCGGGTGAAGAGTTTACTCCTTCTAGTTTGAACAGCCTTCAGCGCTTCAGCCTATGCAGGTGCCGTAATAGCGCTTTGCGGTGTATTGTCGCATGCATGTGAAGAGATGGCATGCCAGGAATACAGGATTGTAAGGGTGGGACACGGTCTGCTTGGAGGGGTCGAGGGCGGCCAACATCACTACCCCCTTATATAGGGATTCCATGATCTAGGGATCCGTGGGGACTGCGGGCTTTCACCAAAGAAGCTTGGAGGTTTGGTCGTTGGGAGCCGTGCACTTGCCGTTGGCGGTCCAATCGGTGGTGCCCACATACTGCTTCAGGGCTCGGCGCTCCCAGATGTAAGCCTCAGGATGCAGCAGCGAGGCACTCGGGTTGAACATCTTCTCTACGTAGACTCTATTTCTGATCTTTCAACCAAGCCTGCACCTTAGCCGAAGGAGTAGTTCCTCACACACAGCGAATTGGAGCGCAGCCGTCACGAACAACTGTCCTCTGATCTCCGAAAGCGAAAAGCATATGGATTTCTTGACGTGCCCTTGACCCGCGTCAGGGCCGTGAGACCAAAGTATGGATCTTTGCACGAAACACCGAGTGGCCTGAAGCCGGGCCAGCGCCAAGCTCTCCCCACCGCGCCACGGAATCGCGGAGAGGCTGCGCGCCTCCTAGGCTTCGGGGTATGCTTTCATGTGCTTTTAGGGCTGAGGCTGTAAGTTTTGGGTTGCTGCTCCAGTTCTTTAAAGATCTCTGTGTCCCTTGGGTTCTTTATGGAGTTCATGTTAGGATTCCTACCGAAGGTTTGACAGGTTAGTTAGGGTTCAGCCAGACAGCCCCCCAACCCTAAGCTGCACAAGCAAATCAAGCAGCCTCCGCCTCGCGCAGCTCATCCCGGTTGTAGCCCAAGTCTGCCAGCGAAGGGACCTAAGCGACCCAAGCTCTGCCGAGAGACGAGGAGTAGCAGCATGAAGCAAAAGAGCAAGCAAAAGGCGGTTTGTGATATTTTGATTTGAGGAATCCTGATGCAGGGTTGCTAATATTGCTTGGGAGGCCTGATTAACATTAAAACTGCTGCTCAAGGTGCGTCCCCCCACCATGCCTCGTCCACGTCAGGTGGCCCGGAAAGTCCTGGCATGGAAACATGCGGAAACCCCGCTACACGGTGACACGAACCTCCTTTCAAAGAGATGCGCCGATCAGGAAAGCCCTGAGGACTAAACAGCCCTAAACGCCCCAACAAGCCTCAACACCCCAGAAGCCCCAGAGCCTTGAAAGAAATCCCTGGCCCTCCTGACTTTGGCAGGTGCTGCCACTCAGCCGCCACCGGCCGGACCCTGCAGCTGCGTATCTCGCGCTTGAAAGAGCCGAAGGACAGAGACGGGTTGATCCACCTCCTCGCGTGTCGGGCTCCAAGGGATTAGGAGGCTTTGGGGACTGTGGAGAACAGAACAGGATGACATCCAAATGAGTTGCCAAACAAACCAGCGCCGTGGAGGTCCAGGGTTTTTGGGGTTGATTCCGTGGGTTGTTCATGCTTTTCCTGCTCGTCGCGCACGAGCCAGGCAGAAACTGCTACTGTAGCCGGCTTATGCCGGCTTGTTCAGGAAGCACGTGAGGGAGATCTACGCCCCGAAGGATGAACCCTTGGCAAAGTTGAGAAGCCTCTCGACACAGGTTCCGTCAATCGCATCAACCTAAACCCAAACCCTAAACCCTAAAAGATATGCCAAACACCAAGAACCCCAGAAATCTCCTTCGACACTCTGTATAAACCCCTAAGTCCTGGACCCTGAAGTCCTTCAAATCCTAAACCCTTCAGCCCCCAGGAACTCCCCAACAAATCCTAAACCCCGACCCTTACTTACCCTTCTAAACAACATGCAGTTTGCGAGCTGAGCCGCTCCGGTGGCTTGCCGCAGCCCTGCGCGAGGTCGTCGATGTGGTGCAAAGTATAACCCCAGCCTCGAAAAGGCTCTTTGTGGTTTAGGTCTCGGGGATAGGGCTTGGGGGCTTGATGGGCTTGGGGCCTAGGCTTTAGGGTTTCCTGGAAAAGGCTCTATGTAGGGACCGTAATGACCCAAAATTTGCCTTGTGTAAGGCTTCCAGAAGAATCGCATGGCTTCTTGGGTTTATGCAAGGCTTCAGGATTCACCGGCCTCATCGACTGGACCAGGACTCCTTGCGGGTATAGTAAATAGTATAGTTTTTGAAACCCCGATGTGCGATGAACACCAGCCTCGAAACAGGCATTCAGTATCTTTCAGTGCCGTGCTACTTTAGGATGGCTTCAGACCCCCATCCAGGATCCCTATACAATACCCCTCCAAGACCCAAACCCTACGTAAAATCCTAGACCCAACATCCTAAACTAAACCCGGAGGACCCTACGTTGTAGGAAATGGCAGCCAGAGTGCAGCGCACGAGCTTGGCAGAGCCTCCGATCTGTCGCAAAGCTTCCTCGAACTCAGCCTCCTGCTGGAGCTCTTCCTTACATCAAGCTCGATTTGGGAGTTTCCGAAAATTAGGGGTACCTTATTTGGGGGCCCTTATGATAAGGATCCTAGTATTTTGGGTACTATCTTAGGGTCCCGTGATTCGGAAACTCCCATTTAGGGTTTAGGGTGCAGGGTCCCCAAACAGTGCATGGGATCTTTAGTTCGAAGAAATGGGAAGGTGGGACCGAGGGGATTGACACCCCAGCAAAGTTTAGAGCTTCGGATTTTGGGGTAGGGTTTCAGTTGCTCCTTTTCAGGAACCTTGCTCTAAGTGCCTAAGCCTTCAGAAACTACGGGGTACTTTCCTTTCCGGAGAGCGTCAGAGCAGACCTCCGCAAAGGTGAAGACTCTGGCGATCCTGCGGCCGCGGAGTCGAGGAGATATCCAGAAAAAGCTATGCTAAAAGGCGCGAAGAAGTCGTCTCGATATTAAAAATTATAAGTAAGCCTTCCAGCGACTTAACTACTTGCTGCTACTTATCCCAAGACTTCCTGATCATAATAATGGCAGCCCCAAGGGTACTGAGGACCGATCTTCAGTAGAGCAGAACACAGAACCCTGACAAGGGCGCTGGCTTGGCAACTTGTGCTACAATTTACGGAAGTCGCAGAGACCGAACTTCGGTCGCTGAAGATCCTGAAACTGTAGAACTTTTCCACGACCCCTCAAACCTTAAAGAAACCCTGCATGTAACCTTTATGATCACAAAACCTTTTACATAAACAAGAAGCCCTTCGAAGAGCACGAAATGTCACAAATTAAATGGTACTGGGTATTATAGGCTATTATAGGGTATTATAGGGTATTACCCTGCCAGGAGGCTCGACTTGGGCTGTCAGCTGCTCTAAGGCTGCGGCGGCGGACCTTTTGGGAGCTCTTGTAAGAAGGGGCTTCTTATAGGACCTAATTACACGAGATTTCCCGTAAGGGTTGTGTCGATTGTTCCGTGAGTTTGGGGATTTAGAATTATAGTTGTTTCTTGTAGGGCCCATAATAACCTGCAATTGCTCTGATACTGTGACTGTAGTAAGTGATACCCTTACTAACTAGTCGGACCTCTCTTCTAGGCCATACACAGGTTAACCGACAATCGTCGCGAGTGCCCAAATGTGTACAGAGGTGTGTGTGTGTGTGTGTGTGTGCACTTCAGTTAGTTTCCCGTGCCAGGAACCTTGTTGCCATGTGTTACTGTGGCGACACAACACAATCCAGAAGAAATTCGAAATCTCAGCATCTTCGAAGCGCAGAGCCTGAAGCCCGCAAACGTTCTGAACAAAAAGTTTCAAAGCCCGGTCGCATGCCAAATCTCAGGAAGAGGTGCTGTCCTCGGCCAGGTCTGGGAAATCTCGGCGATCGGATTCATCATATCAAGGAATGGGGATGCCATGAGGGCCCATGCTTGAGACATCCGCATTTGTCATGGGGATACATGGCACTTCCCCAAGTTTAGCTTGGTACCCGATCTCCTCGTGTCTCGAGTGAGTTTCGGAGATCTTCCACGCATTCCAACCAGAAGCCTTGGCTGCAACAGCGGACAACGGCCATCAGAACAGAGATCCGGTCTTGCAGGTCGAGGCGCGGCCACGCACGGACCCCGTCTTGCGAAAGTGGCCCAGCCGAGTCTGGCCGAACCAAAACGGATCAAACACCTGGGGCGATGGACCGTTGAGGTTGAGACGGGCACGGGGCCCGAAGCATGGACCACTGGAAGGCAGCAATCCAAAGTGCAGACCGAACGGTAGCCGTCAATCCAAACATGCGCAATGGCGCAACACAAATGTCTTGTGGCAGATGGTAAAAGCACAACTGTCTGAAGAACACTGGCCATGTGACATCGCCAGTGCGTAGGTAGGGCTATGGCTGACATGTTGCAACTTTGGAACACCGCATTGCACAACAACATGCCGTGAAAATTTGCTTGGGATGTGCGGCTACATGTAATGCACAGTGCTGGATAGCTACGAAGTCGTTGCTGCACACTGACGTTGTTCTGCGACTATGACCAACTACGGTTTGTGACGTGGCAGCCCTTTCGAAACATCCGCATGCGATCTTCGAGACCCTTGCCCTCTAAATCCAAAGACGAGTCGACTTTGTCCTCGGAGAACCTATCCTTGGAAAGCCAACTAAAGCTTTAGGCTCAATAATTCGCGCCCCGTGATCCCTTACCGGAGAAATGCGATTCCCAAAGAACATGTTCATGCCGAAGTGCTCATGGCAGAAAGATGTGTCTCTACTGCAATGCGAACCCGTGATGCAAGCGTTGTCTCTTTGACATGAGCAGGCAACTGGCTGCCCGTGCATGTACATGCGAACGAATACCCGGCAGTTTAAACTCCTGACGCAAGAACTTGCATAAAGCTGAACCTGTAATGTCCCACAATATGTGTACCTACTGCAGCCAGGTACGATGCCGGATGGCTCGGCTAGACATGGTCGCAGATGTCGTCGATTGCACACGCTGCTGTGGTGATCAAAGTTATAGCGGCGTAGCCGAGACCCTCTTTTGGGCAAGAAGACTGATGGGTGTTCGTCGTGGTGGCAACAAATTGCATTCCGGGCCTGTTTCTGTGGGGTTTCAGGCCTCGTGGTCTCAAATTTGTCATGACTTACGGACCCTTTGACGGTTGGGGCTTTGGTTTTACTGTGCCGAACAACCCCCAAACCTCCTCCAACTGGTTTCCGTGCTTGCAGCTTGCGACCCCGCACACATGGTGACTTGCGGGCAGGTTATTGATGCAGACAGTAGCCGAAAAGCTTCATAGCAATCGATGAACACATCTTTGTCAATATCTTCAAAGCTTCATGAGAAACCCCGGTATGGTCGAGTGCTCTCTCCTTGCGGTACTGCTGGCTCCTAGGTCAGTCAAGGTAGATTTGCTCGCATTGGTGTTGCAACAGCTGCACAAGGGCTGGACTGCTCATGCTTCCCCACCGATCCAATGCAGCGGAGTTAGTGGAATTTGATCTGCAGCTAGAAGCTTCTTGAAATTGGAGCTTTGGGTGTAGGTTTCCGGGTTTGAGCTAGTGCTGCTTTTACTGCTCACCCTCCGGATTCAGAGCCCATTTTCTCCAACCCCCCCCCCCCCACCCCCAGGCTTCGAAGTCGAAGAAACCCCACATCCGACCTCGCAGACTCCTCGAAAAGAGGGGATTCAACAAAAGCGCCCCTGCCATCATCTGAGTCTCCCTTGCACAACCCCGAACCTGAACACAACTTTCATGGGGGAAGAAAGGGACTAGAGTGACTAGAGTTCCTTAGCCAGGCGCGTTTACACCAAGATCTGAACCTCGTCCGTGACATTGAAGCCCCCAGTTCCCTCGCCCTTTCCTCTGAGAGTCTTGATGAATACGTTTTTTGGGGAAAGAAAAACCATAGAGGAGGATTATCAGCGTGCTGTTGTTACGGTAACCATAAACCCAAACCCCCATGAGATGTTGTTTTCAGGCGAAGCCACATGCATGTGAACCACGGGCAGCCGAGGCTGTTCCAGATGAGCACGCGACACAGGCTCGTGATCATGTAACCTTGCGGATTATCTCGCAGTCCGGGGTAAGGCTTCAAGGACAGGACCAGGATCCAAGGTTCAGGGTTCGGGGTTTACGGAAAGCGCCAAAAGGAGCGGCCTGCAACATCAGAGATTCAAGACTTGCTCCGGCCGCTTCGGCGTTGCTCCAACCACAACTTTGCGAATGACACTCCTGCGTGCACATGGCACAACAATGCGGAAGTGCCCCGCCCCTCACCTACAAACCACGATTATTACTATGAGGATGGCGAGGACGACTATCGAACATTTCGCCTCACAAATCCTCACCGCCCTCAATCCAACACACACACAGACAAACGCCGTAAATCGCAAATCAGTATCTTCATCTGGTTCAGAAGTATTTAAAGCTGCGCTTTGTAACTGTACTTGCTAAGTCTGAGATCCTTGGAGAGCAAGCCTGTGCAAAAACCAACAGCACCCTTACAAGATCCTCTACAGACATCTGGCCCTTGCCCCCCGTTTTGACCCCAAATCCTATAAGAAAATAATCCAGGCAAGCCACCGTAGGTCGGACATCTTGTGCCACACGACGTTCACTCGCGGCCTCGTGGCATGCCTTTGCTCTTGAAGCTTGAGGGTTCTACGGTGGATGATATAAATCCTGCATTACCCTAAGGACTCCAAACTATGGGAATTATGGTATATTCCTTATTATTATGGGTAATGCAGGATTTATATCATCCACCGTAGTCTGAGTCTAGGCCTTTGGGGTTTCAGGCCTTTTACCTCCTTTCTCCGAAGAGGAAACTCCTTGTGGACGGCTTGCAACAGCGGCCTAGTCCCCTTTTTGGCACCTTGTGGCTCCCTAGATCCTCCATTCGACCCTAAGTACCAATTACTTGGGATCATGTACCCCTGTTTCTATACTGAACTCAGAACCCTAGCAAAAATTGTAATTTTAGCTGTTTCGTAGGGATTATAATAACCAAAGATTTCATACATATTTCTAAGTACCCCTAAGGTTTGAGGTTACAATGAGGGTCCTGGTCCATGACAGAAACAAGACGAGGCTTCCAGGTCAAGGGTCCCAGGAAGCAGAATTTCCCGGGTGTCGATTTCAACGGTCCCCCACTCCCAATTTTCTTTTCAACTTTGGCGCTATAATAAAGAATAAGGGAAATTACAATACCTTCCCACATCGATACCTCGTTTGTGTCAGGGTTGATTGTTACAGGATGGCCATGTACCGCGGTCTTTAAGATTGCTTGGAATCCAAGACTGGGCGTTTACGTAACCACTGAGAAAAAGTATAAACTTCTCTTTCATAGTGGTTCCTCTAAGAAACAAGTATTAAAGTATGGTACTCCAAAGCCCGGAAGATGGGACCTCCACGACGTCAATGCACCGATCTGTCCGTTGACAAACGCCGCCACGGGGGCCCCCGAAGCCCTAAACTTAAGTTAGGTAGCCTAAACGGCCTAAAGCCCCGAACCCCAAGGCAAGCTCCCTAAACCCAACACCCTACCCTAAAGGCCCTAAACCCGATATACCCTAAACTCTATAACCGGTACACAGAAGAAGAAACCCCAAACCATACATATATATATATATATATATATACATACACCCTACACTCTACAACAGGTAAACAGAAGGAGCCTGAAAATCGAACCGCCCAGGCGCCTGGAAGTGCTCGCAGAGGTCGTCTGGGTCTGGAAGCTCTGCTTGACATCGTAGGGTCCTTCAGGGGTTGATGCTCGGGCTCAGGGTCCCAGGGTTTGGGGGTGTAGAGAAGAAGTAGGGGTTGATGTTCGGGTTCAGGGTCTGGGGATGTAAAGGGGCCGTAGGGGTTTGGGCTGAGAGGTTTTGGGTTTAGAGTTCTGCTATCATGCACTGGCTCTAGGCTGGCTTTGTCTCGGAACTCGACACGCAGCTGAGCAGCTCCGGCCGTGTTCTGACGAACTGCAATTGATCCGCAAACAAACAGAGTCTGTTGAAATCATGGCCTTCTACACCGAGCCCCTGAAGGCCCCAAACCTTGCCCCAAATCCTGAACCCTCAAGAAACCCCCTTCGAGGATGGTTTGAAAGAGCCCGCGCATCCTCGCGCAGGTCGCGGGTAGCCCGAGCCGGGGCCAGCCCAGCGCGTCTTGGGGCCTTCGGCCTGGCACCGGGATGCGCTTTTAGCATACTTTTTGGGTTTTAGGGAGATTTTAGGGCGCTTTAGGGTTTAGGGGTTTTGGGAGCTTTCGGGCTTTCTGGGTTTAGGTTCTAGGGCGGTTGCGATTAACGGTGTGCTTTTTGACGACTTTTCCAGAGTTGGGTTGTGCGCCGTGCGCTGAACAACACAGCTGCCGCAACTGATCTTACAAGTAGGAGGAAGCAGGGTAACAGCAATAATGGTCAGGATGATGGTTGTGGTACATGACAACAACGGAATCCACGTGGTAATAACAAAACGCAAAACCACGGAAAAGGACTAACACCACAAACAACACCGCATACCAAACCACTGCAACAATCACAACTGTTGTTCGCACTGAAAATGGTCTTACTGTAAATACTGAACAAGATGCTTGAACAGCTACAGGTTTGAGCACGCCCACGATTTGAAGACGGCTCACAGAAATGACTCAAGGATCCCGATCTTGAGAAAACTTGTCGATCACAGGATTTCTTGGAGCCTATACTTATGCTTACTATATTAGTTCTTTCTATTCTTGTTCTTACTCTTATTGATTACTCTTACCAGTACTATATCATTATTGTTGCTTGCTTCCCTGGAAAACGCAGCAGGCCTTGGGCTGCTCAAGCACTTCCTCCGTGACCTGCGATGCTACGGCCAGGGTGCAAAGGGACGCAAGAGATGGCAGCATAGTCCTCAGGACCCACGTAACCACCGCAGGTACGACCTGTAACCTCTAAACTCTAAAGCCCCTGAACCTTTAAACTCTGAGGGGCTGGCAACATGACTCTGTGAGGCGGCGATGTCGCTCTCGGACTGACGCGCTCGTCGCGCAGCTGCTTCCGGCTCCTGCACTCGCAGCGCTTCTCAGGAAGTCCGGAGTTTCAGCTCCGGCCCGCTAGGGAAGATGAGAACCAACTAACCCAAGCCAAGGGATCATGCTTGCGTGGGTTCGGGGAGGCCCACGCAAGGATGAGCCAAGGCACTACCAGCAGCGAGGAGTCCCAGCGCCGTTGCGGCACCACGGATCTGCGAGAGAGCTTCGGGCTTCGGATTCACAGGTTTAGGACTTTCGAAGACTTTTCGTAGCAGTTAGGTTTACCAAAATGGTTCAGATTAAAAAAATAGTTTTGGTGCAGAGATTAGGGTGTTGAACGTGCCAATAGAGTCAGCTTTCAACAAACTCCAGTGAAGATGGGAACTAGGATGGGGGAGATGCTGCCCAGCCTCAACCCACCTTGGCGAAGGTCTAGTTGTCCAGCGGCCATCACACATCTTTACACAGCCACTGCTCTCATTCGATCGAATCAAAGGACCGTCTTCGCTTCAAAGGAGTTCCGAGTAAACAATCCTGGACTAAGGGGTTCTGTGAAGTTTCTGGGTGCTCCTTGCCTTTTGAGTCTCACGCATGCGTTTTAGTCATCGGGGTGAGAGTTTTGGATTTCGAACCGGCTGAGGCTCGCGTGCTTCCATCGCGGAGTCACCTGATTCTCGTATTTTTACGGGGACAGCTCACTGCCACAAGCTTGGTTCGAGCCAGGGGACAGAATGTCAGACCTTCTTAAGCTTTAAAATTTGGGTGCCAAACAGGATCCAGATCTCCGCACAAGCAGAATTGGACATGATGAGCTCCAAGCAACTGAGCAAAAGCCAAAGGGATCCAACAGAGATGCAGCAGCACTTAGAAGCTTCGAAGCGAGTGTTGGGCACATGAGCTTGGCGAAAAGCTGCTTGAGCTCAGCCTTCTCCTGACATGACTGCTCAAGGAACGAACATGTAAGTTTCGATAAGGAAAGCATGCCTTTGCCTTTGTTTCCGTAGTATCGCTATGGCACGAACCCGAAGAGGGCCGGGCTTACGACGTTTATGGGGCCAAGTGAACAGCTATGTTGCTATGACTACAATGACTACAACCATTCCTGTAACTGCTCTTCTTCCAGTATTGTTACTGCTCACGGGAGGGCAGTTCTACGTTGGGAGTTCTCTTGCTGCTTCCGCTGTTTCTATGACCTGCTGAGAAGTCACCGAGGAGCATGCATAAAAAAGTACCATAACACTTCTCCAGAATAGGCTCCTATAATTATGTACTGTACGATCGTATACTGAAACCTACTGCAAAGCACTAAGATCCGCCCGGTGCTCTGCTTAAGGCCCAACAGTGAGCTTCCCAGTCCAACACCCTTCAACCCAGGAACATATCGTAAACTACACTGGGAAACCGCAAGCCGACATAGCCTAAGCTATACGCGACCGGGGGCTGTCCTTGTCTTCGGCTTTCTGCTGATCCGTTTGGTGGCCCAGCATCTCCGCCTGCTGCCCGCTGCGGTCTTCAGCTCAAGGAGCCCCATCACATCTGACGAAAAAGTCTGGGCGTGCATATGACCTGTGATAAGCCAAGACAGTATGATGATTACCTCTATACGACTACTATTGCTACAGTACTATCCTATCCCTACTGTCACTACGACTGCTCTATTTGTGGCATAGGGCTAAAGCCGACATTATTGCTTTTTTCACCAGTTGGATAAACTTGACCTCTTCCGCCTAAAGGGACCCCCCCCCCCCCCCCCCCCCCCCCCCTCCGATGAAACGATCGCCTCGTACTGCTTGGCGTAGATGTCGCCGAGGCCCACGCGACTCTTCTCGAAGTTCAGGGTCTCCACGGCATCCTGCGGGCATTCTTTCAATCATAAGCCCCATAAAATGCCATAAAACCCTATAGAGCCCTCAAAAGCCTTATCAGCCCCATAAAACCCTAAAGTGCCCTTAATAGAAGTGTAAGTCTTATAAGAGGGCCACGTTGGGGGGGTTTGGTCGTTCAAACCAAAGCAGACTCATGAAAGCGACGCTTCACAACCAGGGCGCTTCACAACCAGGACCCAGGCAACCACACACCGATTACAGTCCTAGCTTTTATCATAATAGTGTATCTATAGTATAGTATGTTATCTTTATTATCATGTTGTCTCAGATTATGTTGTCTTATCCTATCGCATGGCCCCTTGACAGGATGGCCGGTGTCCTCCTCCGCCCCTTGTGGTCGCTGGGATGGTGGAAGCTGAGCTTTGCGCACCTCGAAACGCGAGCAAAGGAGCCCTGAGCTGTCGAATGTACTACGATTCCGGACAGCCAAGGTAATTCCACAAAATCGAGCTTCGAGTTGAGGCGGGGATTGTATCTCTATTATTATGGTATTCTATATTTATATTATCGTATGTTATTCTTGTCCGGTCCGGTTCTGACAATAGCCCTGAAGCTCCAGCCTGGCCACAACAAACGCAGGACTCGAGGCTCTCAGTGCGAGGCCACGTCGTCGAAAGCTTCGTCCCAGATGCGCTGCTTGATAATGGCCTGAAGTTTAGGGGAACTCACCACCCAAATCCTGGCTGCGACCAGGCCAAATCCCCCAGAAGGGTCATGAGTTGGTCCCCAACTTACAGCAGTTCCCTTCATTTCGGCAAGCGTCTGGGCGTCCAAAATAGGACGTCACTCTTGCAATAAGACCCCACTGAGACACTGCTTTGTCACCCAAATAGCATAGTCAGCATAGCCAAGGCCCTGAAATGAAAGGGACCCCACCTGGCACAAAAAGGAAACAAACCCTCATTCATCCAAGCAGAGCCTTTTCAAAAACCTCCCTGTGCACCTCTGCCTCAAACCCTGAACCCTTATCGAACACTCGCAGAACCCTGATAGAATTCCTCATAGGAGCCGGAGCAACTCAGAAGAAACTCTAGCTAGAGTTTAGGGTTTCGGACGTTCACCGGAGATCCTCTCTTCGGGACGCCTCGAGATCCAGCTTCGGTCGCCGTTCCGCTGCAGCATCGGCGCCCGGGGCATCTTCCATGGCCTGAAAGGATGAAAGGAAGGACCCGGTAGTCGATCGTCTCTATGAAAAACAAACGACAAGAGAGTATCCAACGCCAGATATGCAAAACTTACAAAACCGCCTGTAATGTATAATTACATCATGTAGGTGAGAGGACGCTACATGAAACTTGATGTAAGCAATGTAGCGTAGAGTGTGCACCATGGAATCAGCTACATACATACATACATACATACATACGTACATATACACAAACCGCACCATAACATATGCCGCATCATATCATACAGGAACAGCATACTAGAAAGTGCGAACATATGACAGTTGAAGTAAAACGGGTATGACAAACCAAGCGCGCGCACAGTATAAGGGGTAAATGTTTCAAGAAAACACGCAGCAATGATTCATTCAATACATGAGCATCATGAATATAGAAAGATATAAACCAAACACAGACAGACCAAACGAACGAGCATTCACACGTGTGCACACACATTTTATGTATGCATGCATGCATGCATGCATACTTAAAATGTGTGTGTGTGTATGTATATATATATATACATGTGCATATATGCATGTATGTATGCATGCATGCAAAATTTAATTCTATGTCAGAGTCATTGTAGAGGGTTCTGTAGACGCTGAGAGTTTGGGTTCATGTCCTGTCATGTCCCAGAACATCTAGCATAATTGTTCAGTCGGGTGGATGCTGAGGAACTCCTGACCCTCGACACCATGACCGCCCAAACTTGGATGAAATAGAAGAAAGATGTCCATATGAAAGAAAAAGCCATGCCCATTATATGTCGAACGATGTCCTATCACGGCCTTCATACAATACTCCAAAATTTAAAATTCAGCAACATCACCGGCTATCGAATGCTCAAGGAGCTTGGCAAGACCGCGCCTGTTCGTCCAACTCCACATCCCCTGCGGTCTCCTCGAAGCTTCACAGAATTATCCCCGGTCTGTGGCTTTGAACATGGAGCTCAGGGCTTTTGCACGACGTCCGCTCGTCTCTGCACTCGAGCACTGCCACTGCAACTTTGGCACAGGTGCCTCTGTCGTTCGCTTGACCACTTCCCGGACATGAGTTTGCTAAGAGACTCCTCTTTTCAAGTCACTACCAATTCAAGATAATCGGACCTATCACCACCGGAACTCTCAAGGAAACCGGTTCGAGTGTTCCTGCGATCATGTGGTCAGCACGGCGACCATCCCGAATAGAATCTTGCAGAAGCACCCTAAGAATCCTGCAACAGATTCAGCCAAATGCCCCTAAACCGCCCAAGGGCTCCATCTTTCCGACATCTCTCTCGGTCCTCCGCCCGGCGGGCAGCGAAGTGCGTCATGGGCTGGTCCAGAGCTACCTGCTTAAGAGAGCAGAGAACTAAGTAACCAATAGAGGGGTCTTAACGATTTACCATCACATTTTTAGGACAGGTGTGAAAAATGCTCGAAAAAGGCCGGAATAATAGCAGATGACAGTGGGGCTTAGGGCGGAACCCCCAAATTTCACTCAAACGCCCGAACCCAACAGCCCTCAAAAACCCAGACCGGAAGCCCTGAGGCCCTAAGCCACAATGAAGAGCTGCAAGAGAGAGCTCGACTTCGCCCCTTCATTCGGGGCAGCTTCAAGCCAAGCCCAGCCCAAGTGGCAAGGCTGTTGTTGGGGTGGTGTTTTCTTGTGGAACAGCGATGTCTCAATGAATGACGATAACACAGGCTGTTTATTGGGGGTGGGGTGGTCGTAGACTGGTATGGTGGACTACGGGTTTGGATGAGGGTTCTGGGTAGCTCGGGCTCACGCCGAAATCGCAAATTCTGGAGCTTCCTGTTGAAGTGACTAAACCGTACCAAAGACACTCTTCACGCAACGAATATTCGTATGGTCACCATGGTCCAGTTTAACGCGAGTCCCGTACGAAGAGCCAGTAACAGAATTGTAACCGGGGCACCTCCAGGAGAGAGTTCAGTGGTCGATTCCTCGCATTGACCTGACCCAAACAGCTGCTCCGATATCATGCTTGCGAATAGCTGCTACAAAACGAAAAATGATCTCCGTCTACAGTTTGGCAAAACAAGACTCAAAAAGCGCAATTCTGCACGCAGGTGCCAAATCCAATCCCCCTCGCAGCACGTAGAGTGGGCATTGTACCTGCCTGACACTTCCTGTAGGTTGAAGCTCAAGCCGCAGCACGCATGTACTCGTACATTGCCCCGGAAATTAGTGAGAAGGGTCGATACTTTGCCAGTGGTAGTTTGTTGCAGGGTAGCACGCATGAAGCTATCGGTGGTCTGCACTTCCGATCTCCGTGCTGTCATGCAAGTGATCTCCAGCACGATCTGGCTTCCTCAAGACTGGACCGAAAGCCCAAAAGCCCTGACAACTAACTAACACCCCGAACTCTTCCAGACAATGCAATGCTTACAGAAGCCCTCACAGAATCACCCCAGCCTAATCTGAGGAGCGTGAAGCGCCTAGTCTGTGGCTAATTGTTGCACAAGAAGGACCGGCCTCTCCCTTCATTTCCCAGCTCTTCTCTTGCAGCCTTGGTGGAACCAGCACATGCCCAAAGCATATACGAACACAAGCATGTGCATCCATCCGTATTCCATCCGTCCGTCCAGCCATGAATGCATGGACAGACCGGCAGGCAGGCAGACTGACAAACAGACAAACGGACAGACAGACAAACAAACATGCATCCGCAAATTTCATAGTACGCACATACATATCTTCACGAACACGAACAACACGAACGTAATCATACAGATGCACATAGACATATGCGCATCCATTACATTCGTATGTGTATGTGTGCATGTACATGTATGTGTATGTATGTACGTGTCTGCCTGTTCATCCATAACCACTGACAACTAATTACCAAGTACTAGTTTCCTCTACCTCCCCCTACATGCATGTTTAAGCATCGGTGCAACTCACTGAGGCCAAAGCTGCTCTTCCTCCAGCTTCCGCACCTCCTCTTCCAGCGACTGCAGTCGCCTTGCAGCAGATGTGGAGGTCGAAGTAACAGCTATTGCTGCTGCTTTTGATTTCGGTATGAAGGCTGTTGCAACAAACCACTGCTTGCACGAAAATGTAGTTTTGGCGGCGTCCATGATACCTTGAGGGTTCCTCAGTATGTCTGATTTTCGCCTGTGGTTTGGGTCTGCTTAAGCTTCAGATGTGTAGTTAGTCCGCACGCTGGCAGATCTGCCCAGTTTCATAGCAAGCAGCCGATCTAGCACCACCACCCTCCTTGATCGCCTAAGTTATTTCAATTTCTCATGATCTAATTCAGTTCTCGTCGCACCTAGTTAAGCAAATCACCAAAAAAAGTCAAAACCTGGGCAAGGGGTGCTCTATGCCTGAAGATAAAGCGGGAATCAAATACCAGAGTCCAATGCTAACGCTGGCTTGCGAAAGAAAGCCTGCATGTCTTTGATCGACAGCCTGTGTGCTTCCGAAACCAGACCATTGAAAAACACAACACGCAATCCCATCATCATGAGGCGGCAGAACATTCAACCAGGGAAAATGAACACGGTGATGCCCGTAGCTTCTTTTGAACATGCCACATTGTGGGTGATGTCAAACAAAGTCTTTAGGCAAATGTACTGGCCTTTCTGTGAAGGACGCCCCGAGTGCGATCAAAGGCCAAGAACTATTCTGAATTGTCGATGGCAAGTCGGTGCATCGTCAATTCTATCGGGAAACCCGCGCCTGTCCATTTCGTAGACAGACTTCTCCTTGCCCTTTGAGCCAGGTTTCCCTGCCAAGATCAGCATCGAAACAACAGGGCGCCACTGCTCGCTCCGAACAGCTCAAAAATTATCTGAGATGTGGATCGTCATGAAGATGTGCAGATTCCAGGAGAATGGAAGCACCGGTTCGCAAAGAGTGATTGCTCCCAAGACCGTGATGCTGCTTGCTTCCCGTCCCCACTGGAACTCTCGACTTAGATCACTTACTTTTCATGGCCGCCTGCACCGTCCTCACCGTCTTCCTTTCCAGTGACCTGCCGTGCAGTTCGCTTACCGGGTTCGGACGGCTCCAAAAGGATCGCAAAGGCGTCTCATGCGAAGATCTTTGAGCCTGGCCCACACCTACACCTATCTAGCATAAACAGCGCCCCAAAATTCGCAGGTACACCGTAGCCTTAGAGAACCCTAGCCCCTTGTGGTCTAGTAGCCTTATAGAGGCGCTTGGAGCTCCGCCCTGTCCAAAGCCTCGCCCTCCTCATCCTCCTCCTTCTGCTCCTCCTCTTCGCCCTCATCGTCCTCCGAAGGCTCTTCGGATCTATGAGCTTCGGAGTACGACTAACAGGGTTCTGCGCCTGGGCTGTAAGATGTATGTGATCCATGGGTTTGTAGGGTTTGTGCAGGGCTTAAGTGAGGAAGCATGACGCAAACGGGGCAAGGGAAGAGCCTCGACGCAAGACCTCCGAAAGACGAGCCTGAGCGATACCGGGGTTGAGGTCCCTAAACCGTAAGATTGTAAACCATATGGGGTTGCACAGAGGGTTTTCATGTGCGAGACTCTCTTCTTAGCATCCCAAGAAGACCGGGGAACTAATCACAAGATAAACCCCTACAACAATACTGCTCGTCACCATGAGCGTCAATAGTGTTATCTATTCAATGTAAAGACACCAAAACCCCATAGTCTAGTTCTACCGTCTCATTGTCCATTTAGAGTGAAAGCCCCGAAAAGCTTCGAAGGAAAGGCCCTCAGCGTGGTCTTCTCGGCGCGTCCTCGCCGGACTGGAGAGCCTTCAGCTGGGCCTCGAGTGCCTTCTCCTCCCAGGGCTCTTCTCACAGGGTCTTGGGGTTGAGGGTTTAGTAGTGCATATAGGGTGCTCGGAAGGCTTTTTTGGAATTTAGGGTCTGGGGTATAAGATATGGAGTTTAAGGAAGTTCCAAACAGGCTCAGGCGCTCCTAGGATTTCATCGGGTTCGAGTGTAACATAGGCTTCCACAATATGACAATATGGGTTCGTAGGCTTTTAAAAACGGTATTGGACTGCTTTCCAAACGCAAGGAATCCCTTGGTTCAAGTCGGCATTGGCCACTCTGGCTGAAGGCTGTTTGTTCGGGATGAAATGCCGCATCAGCGGACTCTTCCAAGTCCAGAAAGCTACAGGATCCCTGTAATACTTCAAGTAACACGGGCGCTTGAATATTTAAAATGGCGGTACGGGGCAAATCATACGCAAAATGCTGCGGGCGAGAAGGGAATCATGTTACTAATGACCCCGGCTTCTAAAGACAGGACGATGAATTGGAAGGCATGGATCTGCGAGTATGAAAAAAGACCACAAAAGTACGTCCCCTAGTCCATTTCCTTACCTTTGGTTAGTACGGAATGGAGGAATGGGCTTGAATTATGACAACCATTCTTCCATTCCCTACTAACCAAAGGTAACTAGTCTATTTCTCCAAGAGGAATAAACCCCTTTTGTCGGCCTCCTCATCGAGCTCCTCCAGCTCTTCGGGTTCTTCCTTACGATGAGATACATGGCACTCCAGAAGAACGGAAGGCAATGCCCTGGGCATGATTGTCGAATTGTGAGCGCACTTGTGACAATCAACACTTTTATCCATGCGCAGCTTACCAATACGAAGCGGCCTCCTCCTCCTCCGCGTCCTCGTCCTCCAGTACCTCCGCAGAGTCAGAACACAGGCATGATGTTCAGGGAGCTATAGACCGTTGGCACAGCGGCCTGCACCCCCAGCACGCTGCAACTCTGCGACATGTCCACTGCCTCTGCATCAGACTCTTCAGTCTGGGCTTTCTTTCCTCCTTGGCTGGCCTGGCATTGCGAAAAAGCTCCAGGTTGGGTTCAGTCAGGGCCCGGTGCGGCGAAAGGGGCACAAGCCCTCCCTTCTCCTTCTCGTGAAAAACTAGCTCCAAAGCCCGATCTGCGCCTTTGCAGCCTTCCCACCCGTGGCGGACTTCGTGGCTTTGCCATCTGGCATCATGACACATCGTCACCGGGAAATTCGTTGGGTTTCCGAAGACGGAGGAGCCCGTAACTGGGTGCCTATTGCAGAACTTAACCTAAGTTGCCGTAGTAGGGATGGGATATGTAGTTCAGTGAGGGAGCATGCTTCCTCACCGTGGTGATTTCAGCTAGGTACACGCACGCAGTTCAGGGGTATCCGGACGCGTTTGCTGTTGATCACTGGATGCTAGAGCTAAGGTAGTGTTTGCAACTTGCGATGGGCCCGACGGAGCGTGACGAGACGACGATAATTGGAAACTCGTGCGAATGCATGAGCCACGCTCCGAGCACGCACATCCACATATCCCTTGCGGTGTACTGGGCTCTGGCATCGGCATCGCCTGGTGTCCCGAAGAAGTCGGCGAACGTCGCATTCGCCGCCTCTGTAGCTCGAATATGCAGGCTGCGCCAGTCGAGACAAGCTTCACAATTGAAGACTGCAAGCAAAGGAACACACGAATCAATGCGAATCCCACAAGTTCCCCGCTATGATAGGCTCCGGACCTCATCATCCCCATCCTCATCTCCGGCCTCTTGGGAACAGAGCGGCCGGCTCGACCGTCATACACGTACTTCTATGCAGGATTCAAGGGTTAAGGTATAGATTTTAAGGTTCCGGGGTTTAGAGTTTAGAGAGACACACCAACAAACAAAAACCCCTTTCCCCGGCTATGACCTTGCACACTTTCTTCGCAGGGCCGGGGCTACATGCTACGAGTTGCCAACACAGATGCAAATGAATGTGTTGCGAGCCTTGACCCGCCTGGAAAACTGGGTAACTAAACGGTATGGGCCCATAGACACGCGGCACACCAGAGAGAGCTTGTAAATTGGGAGACTCTTGCAGACGGCTCGAGTCCTCGAGGAGGTCGAAATCGCTTTCGTCCGCATCCTCGTCGAGCCTGAAGACTAAGACAAGTACAACAACAATTTCTGCAGCAAGTAGTAATGCATGAGTAATCGTGAAAGGGTCATGCCGAAACTGCAGACATCGCAATGTGCGACTGCAGGTATCTGAAGCTTGCAGACTTTTGCAGTGCAGTCTTTTGTCCAGTAAACTCTTTCTTGCCTCATCGTGCCCGTATCGGCCATGTCGGCAAACTTCTCCATGTCGTCAAGGCTAAAGAAGTCCTGCATGTAGCACATCTCATTTCCGTTCACCACGCCACCTAAGTAGCAAAGCCCAAGCCTAAAACGACTAAAGCCCAACAAAAGGACATTTGGCCAAACGAAACCATTACTGTATCGTACGTGTGGCGCGCATCACAATCTCTGACCCAATCCAAACTACTACAGTAAGTTCACGATTCTAGCCAAATGATCCCCTTGCAGACTTGCAGTGGGGGCCAACGCATGCTTACGCTTCCAAACCTTCCTTCCGCTGTTTGCAGCCCCAACTCCAATAAAACGCCTGAAAGCCTCTCTCCTGCTCTAACCCAAACCCTGACTGTCTTTGGATTTCCGCACTAGTCAACAGAGCAACAGTCTCAGTTCATGCATCAGAGGTCCTCGTTGCCATCAGCCGCTTTCGCAGCCTTGCTCGGGCAAAATTAGGGTACTTGGGGTCAGAGTACATAGAGAGCGCATTAAAGAGCGCGACGTAGTCAGTAGGAACCTGATTCTGGGTACCCCGAAGAGGGTTGTGCACATTTAAATACTAGAGTCTGCCTGTAGCTCCAAGCCTCACAACATAGTAGGATTTTTTCCCAGAGGGCCCCGCCTGCCGGAGGAATCCTACCTAAATCATAGTAAGGAGCCTGCAGCCCCATAAGACTGCATTCAGAAAGCTTCCACCTGCTCAACAACCAAGTCCCCAACCCCAGAAGACCCCTCAAACTAAGGCCCAAAAAGGCCCAGGATCCTAAAATGCTACACCCTGAACCGGAAAGTATCCAGGGCTTATGGCTGTCGTACGTTTCCCTGTATGGACCTTCAAAACAGAAGGTGCTTAAATCCCTGTATGAAACCCCATGAACACACCCTACAAACACACCCGACATACCCTCATGAACAAGGTCCGATGTGCAAACTTGCACAACTCCGGAAGAAAAGCCTCTCAGCACCTGCGAAGTCAAAGTGGGAGGGGGGGGGTCGCCTCCTGGCCCTCTGGCACCTCCTCTGCCACTGCCTCGCCGGGTTAGGACGGCAAAACAAAGCTTGGGTGGCCTTGTGGGGTTTGGGTCTATGCCCTATAGGGCTTTTCCTATTCGGGCCTTTTCAGGACTAAAGGGCTTCGGCTTCGCATGTCGTGAGCTCCTGTCATAGGGCCCCAAGTTCGCAGCTCCAAGCCCGAGCCATAAAGCGCCGAGGCAGCAAAGCCAAGCCCTGGAACCACAATTCCCTCAACTCCTGGAGCCTTCATGCGCCCAAAAGCCCTCAAGCCATACACCCAGCTCTACCTCACTCGTGCACCGGCTTGGATGATCAGACTGCGATGATAACTAGCTCGTGGGGCTTATGCTTCAGGTACGATATTCCTACCCAGAGGCCCCAAAGTAGTTCCCTTTTTGGATTACCTTATCGGATTCTATATATGAACCCCCAAAAGGAACTACTTTGGGGGCTTTGGGTCCCTGAAATGGTGGTATAACAGGAATATAATAGGGCCCTAATACAATAGATATTCCTAACTATGTGGGTAGTTGTCAAAACTAGGGTCCCTCTTTGGGTCCTTATTATAATACGGCACCTATTATTTAGGGTACCCAAAAAGGGACCATAGTTATGTCTACCCAACCACCCGTTTTGTACTCGAAAACCGCCGCCTCCTCCGGCTCTTCGGCTCTTTGGCGCCCTGCTAAGAGAAACGAAAGCCGCCGGGCTTTGCTTAAGGTTTTTAGGCCAGTATAGGGTATTATGGGCTATGATGGGCTATTATGGGCTACTATAGGCTATTATAGGATATTATTAGTATGCCTGCTCCTTAAGGTTTAGTGATGGGAAGACTTGGAATGACGATCTTAGGTCTTTGTATGCCTGCTCCTTACCCACTAGGGCTTCACAAGGCTCAGTGACAAAACTCTGCCCACTGCCCCCACAGCCCACCCTTGACTACCTCTTCCGGGTACCAATTCGAGTCATGAAGGGTTGTTTAAGCCAAAAGTGTAGCTTAGATTGTATTGGGTTGCTCAATATGACTTAAGGATTTTGCTGAGTTGTGGGGAATATGTGGCTTGCAGAAGTTTCTTCGCTTCTGAGTCGTCAAGGAAAGCCTTCAACGCAAAGCAGCACACCGTATCCTATATTCTTTGGAGGGGTCCTTAAAGGAGAAAAGCACAAGCCCTCGCAAGTCCTGCTTGTGAAGAGGTGTTGGTCCCTGGGCTCTCAAATCGATGTACAGCCCCGATAAGCCCTACGGGAGCCCTATCCCCTTCCGAGGCCTGTTCATAACGCTCTGAACAAACACAATGTAAAGCCTCCTTGAATCCCCCGGTCCGGCCTTTCTTCGAGCTTTCCTTGGCCCGAACCTCCATCGCAAGACAGGGACTTGTGCGATGCAGCGTAGGGAACACTCATGCCATGCTGAAGAGAGCTTGCTCAGTTGTTCCATGTCAGAAGGTTTGGTAGTCTGCAGTGGCTCATCCTAGGTATCCAAGCCCCTTGATGTGCGCAGGGCTTCTTACTGTGAAAACAACAGTTTGGCTCTCCAGTATCCAACAACCAATGATCAGCCCTGCATGAGGCGAGGCAAAGTGTTCGGGGCTCAGGCGTCTTGTGCTCTCCGGCCTTCAGAAGCGAACCGCGAAAGCAACAGTCCAACGTCGCCCAATGCAATGCCTTTTGGACCCGGAGAAGCCTGGTATGGAGGCCGAGATGTCCTGTTATTGCCGGGGGGGGGGGAGGGGATAGTCTGAAGTAGTTATGATAAGAAGCCAGAAAACCCAAAAGCCCTGAAAAAAAAAATGCAACAAGACGAAGCCGAAATCACACGCCTTCTTCTTGGGCAACTCCTCGCCGTCCTCTTCGGGGCCAAGCTCCGTCGCTTTCGGCGCCTTGCGAATTCCCCCCGGTGCAGAGAAAAAGGGACTCTCGGAACTTAAACCATACCTTAACCATGAAGGATCCACCTTTTTAAGGACTTGTATTAGGAAATCATACTAAGGAACCCTAAGAAGATAGGTTATCCAGGGTTAAGGCCTGCTCTGCTTCAATGCATAATTGTCTAACTCAGAGGTGAATTGGGCTGTGTAGTTTGCGGACTTCGGTTCAATGCCTGTTTGCAGGGTTCAGGGCTTTTGGGGAACTGAGGTCCGTTGATGTACGGGCTTTGGGTTCTAGAGTTTCTTTGGCTCAGGATTTTGCATGCAGGTTGTAGCTTTGTTGGGCTTGGGGTTTAGCTTGTGAAAGGACGAACTATCAGACATGCCCCAAGGTGGCATGCTAGAACGACGACGGTTAGAAAGCCTGCAAGTTCCCACGCATATCGATGTTTCACCCAGAAGCACAACACCTTCAATTAAGGATCAGAGTGAAGAGTGCTATGAGACTCAAGCTGTGTTCGTTTTTTATTCTGGGGCCACCGCAGTCTTCACGTCAAGGCTCACTTCCCGCCCGGCTACTTCCGGCTTCATGCTCGCAGTCGCCCCACATCGTTGAGAGGTTTCAGTCGCCCCCAAAAGAAAACACAAGCCTTCAAGTTGTCAAAGGCGTGTAAGGGGTGTATACTATACCTGGACCTCAATCCCGAATGCTGTAAATGTAGCTACACCGTGAAATGTCGACGCCCAAGCCAGAAGTCTTCAAACCTGACTAGTGCCTACTCAGCCTCTGAGTGGCTCCCCGCATACTTCTGTTACAGAGCTTCTAGAAGCCTTTCCAAAGCCCGTCAGCACCTCTAAACTACCCTTTACAGCAACCCCTATAGAACAGTTAAAGAACCTGTCTAATGCCCCAAAAACACATATGGGAGTTTCCGAAAACAGGGGACTCGAATATAGTACCCTCAATGCTAGGATCCTTATTATGAGGACCCCAAAATAAGGTACCCCAAATTTTCGGAAACTCTAAACCCTAAACCCTTTATAGAACCCTTATAGATCCCCTTTAAGGTACCCCCAATTTTCGGAAACTCCCATATATACTACCCCTTCTAGAACCCAAGCAGTCGGGCCTCCGGGACCTGCTCCCCCCTGGTGGTGAGCGTCAGGTCGATGGCACCCTAATCTTACCATTGGTTAGTAGGGAATGGAGGAATGGTAGCAATAGTAGCTATAATGATAGTAATATGATAGTTATATGGTAGTAGTATGATAGTAATAGTAGTTATACTTGTACCCCATTCCTCCATTCCCTACTAACCAACGGCAAGTAATCGCTTTGGGGTGTTTCGGTCTTAGGGCTTTCTTGGCGCCAGCTGAACCTTGGGATTCCTACGAAAACCCGAGTCCTAGTCGGGGGTTTATAGGGTTTGCACTGTTTACACGGCACTCTTGAGTTTCAGGGTTTAGGGTGCCTAAACCACAGACGTGGTGTTTACCCTAGCATCGGCTATATAGAAAGTTTAGCGCCTGTAGCAGAGTCGAAGCTCCCACTTCTGAGCGTGTAGGGAGCACAAGCCCTGCTTCAGCTACAGACAATATTATATGGCTTGATAGCACAAAGCCCCGGTATGATTAGAGTCTCGGAAACCTTGAACTTACCGGCCTTGCTCGCCACGGCCAGTTTCGAGACGCGCTTCCGCCTGGTCCGTTGCGGTCATGGGTTGAGGGCACAGGGTGGGTCCCCGGTGACGGTAGCTAAGTGCGACCGGCTTTGTCCTTCTGCTTGTTGATGCTTCCTTTCTGCCTTTCCGTCTGGCTCTGTCTCTGCTTGAGCGGGCCTTCCCCCTGATGCAAGTCACTGCTCGATGCCTTTCCACTCTAACGTGGTTCCTCTGTCTTTGTAGCCCCCTGTCCTTCATGTTGTCTCTTGCATCTTGGGTTTGCATATCCGATTCTGACATACAGGCGCATTTTAGGCATCCATGGCGTGCTACCATTTCTCAGTATCACGGAAGGACAGCAATGGCAATTCTTGACGTCTTCAGTACAGACCCACCCGCTCTCTGAGGACTTTGCAAATGCAGTCGAAGAGGTACGTTTTGCACCTGGCGAAACGGGCTTCAGGGTGATCCATGGCCCGAGCTGCCGAACCTCGAA